GTCTTTTGTGATCTTACAAAGCTTCAAACGACGCGTCGACTATTAAATCAGTCGTCGACGATTTTGATAGTCGACGGAATCATGACTAGTCGACTAATCGTGGCAGCCCTATACTAGACTACAGTGTAATAAAACGTTTGACAAATCAAGACAGACCAGCTGAACAGTATAAAAGTCGTCTGTATCTTTAAGGTGTATTGAAAGTGCAGCGCACTGGAGCCCAACATCATTAGTTATTTAGGCTTTTTCCTTTTTTTGGCCTTTAGAAGTCTCAAATACTCATAAGAATGTATGTATCATATATAATAGGCAGGTGTTAAGGGGTTAAGCTCATATTCTTTCTAATGGCCACCAGGGGGCGACACCTGTGTTTGCATAAAGACTTCTGCTCTATGGAAAAACCTGAAAACGTGACCTCAACACATTTTTGTTATTTGGGCTGAGTACATTCATTAGGAATAGAATTTAAGTTGGAATATGTTCCCTTTTTAAATAATTAATAATCAAGTCAAGTGGCTTTATTGTCATTCCCATCATGTGCAGTGGTACAGTACACAGTGCAGTGAGACAACGTTCCTCCAAGACCATAGTGCTACAGACAATCGAGGTCGGGCATATCTGGATATTTTGTTTTTGATGTACTATGTTTACTATACTCCACTTCTTTTGACACAGGACCACATCAAGTGCAAGTGTGCAGAACTGTGCAAAAATTGCAAAAAAGCAAAACAAAGACAGTTCAACACCAGCCAGAACAGAACGACACAGACACAAGGCAGTGCAACAATGACAGTGGGCTGTGCAAAAGACTGAGCATTGTGATAATAACGAGGTCCAGTCAGCTTCTAAATAAAACAGCTGGTAGAAACGTCCTGCAAAGAGCCGGTTTTTACTTCGAGGACTTTTTCACTATTACTTTAACAGAGAAGTTAAATCCATACTTCTGCTTGTATCAGAGTAACACAAACATCAGTATTTCTACACAAATGATGACTGTGTGATTTTCCCATCATTCACTTTTGTCTGCTCACTCCTGTAGTTTGTGTTTGCTCCCAGTTGGGATGTAAGTTTATCCAGTACCAAGCAGGGGGAAATCAGAGTGATAAATAATGTAATATAGTATTTGTTATCATGCTATAAAACTGGATTTAATCATTTCATTGCAATTATTAATAGATCCCCAATGACCCTGATGGTTCTGTTTCTTTTAGTAAATTGCATCTTGGGCATAAATATGTTTTTCGTGCTCTGTCCTCTGTGAAATAAACTGAACCAGGACAGCAGATATACCTCAGTTTTATAACGAAGCAGCTCTGCTGTAGCCTGTATTCACTGAGGGTTTCTGTTATTAGAGGTTAGCTGCAGGGAGGACTGTAAGTAGGCTAATTTCTGAATGCTAAGTGCTTTTTTTTAATCTCACCTGCAACATTTTCCATGTCTTTTAACAACATTTTCACTTTTACTGCTGTGAGAAATAAACAAGCCACCTGTAACTGAACTAATTAGGGGGGAAATATTTAGTGGAAGGTAGGAGAAGAGAGGTCAGGTGCCAGTTGAATACTAGCTCAGGTTTTCTTTCCCTTTCCAGGTATGCAAAAGCATGAGGACATGGTAATGAATGCAATAGTTGGCCCAGTTCTGCAGCCCGCAAAATGTCTAGTGAGGTAAATCAAACACAAACCTTAAGTAGGTTGAAAATTCAAACCGTGTAGCGAGGCATGCATCCCCCCCTTCAAGTCTGACGGAACAGAAAAAGATGAGACAAAGAATCACAGACAACTTGACACGAGTAAAGCAAATGAGAAGGATCAAGGTCGACACGAAATCCAAACAAGCGGAAAAAGTTGAGATCAAGGAGCCGTGGAATAGCAGGCGCAGACGCGGCACTGCTGAGAACAAACGGAAACACCGGCTGAGCGCTCTGACTCACAGTGTGTGTGTTTCCACAGGAGTGTGCGACAGCTCGGAGGAGGTAATTGATGAGAATGATGACCGCCTTACAGGAACAGGACATTTCTAGATAGGAGCCATTATCACACTGTGAACCAGCCGCGGGGCTTTTAAGCTGCTGTTTAAAAACTCCCCGAGACAGACAATGGCACACACTGATGTGTGCGTGCATGTGCTGCGAGCGTGTCCGTGCTTTTTCTGTGCGTGTGCACTAATAAGAGTGATTACATTTGCATCCGTCAATAGATTGATGCTCAGCCTCCAACAGTGGGGCCTTAATGCTTTCTCCTGCCTGTCACAGCTATGGGAGAGCAGGAACAGAAGGATTAGCACGGTGCTTCTGCAGACACACAGCAGTCTCTCCTGACAGATGCACGCAGTAACGAGCGTGGACAGGAGAAAGCTGGGGGATTATTTTTAGTCTTCGATGTTTACTTTCAGCAGATGAGATTTTAAGAAAGAAAATCATTTTGAATTCATTAAAAAACTGTTTGTGACAAACATCAAATATATAAAAATGAGGAGCGGAGAGGCAGCTGGTCCAGATGATGTACCTGTGGAAGCATGGAGATGTCTGGGAGACAGGGCAGGGCGCGATCAGAGAAGAAGAGCTGCTGTGATGTAGGGTTTGGTGGCACTGACAAAAAGACAGGAGGGGGCAGAGCTGATGATGTAAAGGTCTTCCTTGGGAGTGAGAAGGATGGACAGGATTAGAAATGAGTCCATGAGAGGGACAGCGAGATGGTTTGGACGTGCAGAGGAGGGAGAGTGGATGTGTCGGTGAAAGGAGAGTGAAGCTGGAGCTACCAGGAAGGAGGAGAAGAGGAAGACCTCAGAAATGATTCATGGATGCAGTCAGATATTACATTTTCAAGTGAAAAGGCCATCTATTGGTAACCAGAAGATTTATGACTCGCGCAAGAGCAGCGTGACAGGAGGATGGCCATTTAAAGCCAGGTGAATTTTCTCAGACAGTCACGACTGGTTTCTAACCACAAACGCCCTTTAGCCACTTTCCCTTATTAGAAATAAAAATAAATGTATTTAGGTTGAGGACAAAACCTTCTGCCTCCATCAGCCCCGATCCTTAGTGAGGACTTCCTGTGACCAGGAACATGTTATGACCAGTGTTGGTCAAGTTACTTGAAAAAAGTAATCAGT